AACTGGTGATCACGGTGCTGTGCATACTGCTAAACAATTTGAGATTCGAAAATGTAAACATCGAAATCCAGTGTCAAGTGAAAAATGTACTTTAGAACTTGTTGGAGCCAAAAATGAAAAAAGATTTTGTATTGCTACTCAAAATGAAAACGTTATTCGTCAACTACATGATATACCAGGCGTACCAATATTAAAACTTAAAAATGGATTAGTCATTTTAGAATCATTAACAAATAAAACAAAACAAGTCATTCAAAAGGTAAACGTGTGTAAATATAAGGAATAAAAGAAAATGAATGATGGTTTTTATTAATTTTTAATTTATATTCGCCCTTTTTTTTATTATTATTCTTAATATATATAGAATGAATTAACAAAAACATTACCAACACAAAAGGAAGCAGAACATCTTAAAATAGCTAAAATGATTCAACCACCACCATCAGAACCCGTCCATAAAAGACGTAAAGCAAAAGGACCTAATCCTCTAAGCATGAAAAAGAAAAAGAAACAGCAACCTCCTCCACCTAAAAAGAAAAATAATAATAATAATAATAGTAATAATTCATCTAAAATAACTGGAGAAAAAAGAAAAAGACCATCTGAAGATACCACTAATCAATCATCATCAAAAAAATCAAAATAAATAAATAGAACAAATTATTCATTTGCATAATTCCCTTTTTTTTCTTTTTCTTCATTAAAATGTTAAGATTATTTCATTTGCATAATTCTTTACAATTTCTTTTTTGAAAAAAATCGGAGTATCATTTAATTTTTTTATATATAGAGCTTTCAAATTTTTTTCTTTTTTACTTTTGATTTTTTTTTTTAAAAAAAAAATATTAATATATATTATTATTATACCTAACTATATTTTTGTACATAACTAAAAAATATATATTTATATATACGTATATATGTCTAAACCTTTGGATCATTGTCTTGAACGTTTACATTTAAAAGAAGATACCAAATTACGTGAGCGTGCTGAATATTATCTAGGAGAATGTATGAATAAAGTACCTTCAAAAATATTTGACAAAGGACCCAACTGCCAACTTGTTATTTCTATTCAACTCGCTTATGAAAGGTAAATAGATTTATATATTTTCATTATTACTATTATTGAAAGAGCTTATTTAGTTTATTTTTCATCAATATTCAGCATTATGATTATTATTATTAATTGTCGATTTATTTATTTATTTTAAAATAGTTTAGGTCAGTTTGGTTGGGATACTACCTTAGCAGCAGAGCTAGCTATTTGTAGTCAAAAAGCTTATGAATCAACTTTAACAATAGTTAAAAAACACCTTGGTTTACAAACAATTATTACCTTTGAAACGTTAGGGGTTACTTTCGGTTCTACCACTTTGTCTTCACATGCTCATAATATATGGTCCTATTTTATTGAAAAATACCTTTCTTCTTTAGGTCCAGCTCAACAAATATCGGTCAAAGAACAACTTCAACAACCTGTATGGAAAGCAGCCACATTTTATGTTTGTTCAAGAGCTGTTGGTGTAAGTATTATATGTTTATCTTTTAATTTATTAAATAAAGATGAAAAGTTTAACTTTTATAAACATATATATTAAATGTCTTTTTTACATATATATATTTTTAATAGATATCAATCGATAAAGAAAAATTACAAAAGACATGTATTTGCAGTAGTAAAGAATTTAATAAAAGTGTAAAATTGTTACAAAAGGAATGCTCTAGTAAATTGGACGATCTTAAATCAACAACTAAATCAAAAAGAAAAGCAATTAATGTGGATGAAGAAGATGAGGATAATACAACAGAAATAAAAAGAAAAAAAAAGAAATCATCGACAATAAAAAAAGTAGCATCATCATCAACAGTAACAGCAGAAGAATCAACATCAACAAATAGTAATAATGCAGAAAGTTCGCCTATAAAACCAAAAATAAAAACAGCTATATCTGGAATTGTATCTATGATTGATGGTCAAGATTATCGTACCTCAATAAAATATGCAAATTATCAACTATGGGAAAAACAAATGAAACAGCGATTAATAAATAATTAAACATAAAGAAAAGAAAACAAAATGCATACATATACACATATATATATATTAATACAATAATATAGTATAATAAACAAACAAATTACTTTTTATGGTGGCATATATTTATATATATAAAAAAAAGGGGGACAAAAAAATTAAAGTCATGGGATCGATTTTTTTTATTTTCTTTCCTTCTCTTTTTAAAATAAGTTTAAAAAAAAAAAACTACCACTACCACTTTTTTTTTTAAATTATAAAAAGAGATCTTTTTTATCAGTACTATTTTTTCTTTTCTCTCTCTCTTTCTCTCTCTCTATCTTTATTTATTTATATACATATTTATTTTATATTTCCTTTTTATTCAATCCTTTTTTTGAATATCTTTTTTTTTTTTTTTATAATTTAAATTATTATTATTATTATTATTACTTCCTAAAAAGTAAGAATGTATTCACCAACACAACAAGATTTTAATTTGGATTCTAATTCTTTTCAACAAGCCATGACTTCACAACATACAACAGTAGGTGCTATGCCTGTACGTACCTCACAGCAACAGCAACAACAACAACATCAACGAAATAGTGGAGTATTTACAACCCATCAAGCTTCACCTTATCACCATCCTCATCAAAGACAAAACAGCTTTGGCACAGCCGCTTCTATTGCTATGAGTCCTCCAAGAGCTGGTAATCCTTATTCAGTGGATCCTACCGCTTCAAACTGGTTTGGGACAAGCTTAGACTCTAGTTCTTCTTTTGGTCAATCACCTCCCATGTTTGCTACAGGTAGAAATGATTTAATTGTCTCTCCCTCAAACTCAACAAGTCATTTAGAATACGTTACAAACGAAGATGACGAAGTCCAACAAAGAAAGTAAGTTTATTCTTTCAATAGAATAATAAATAATATAAATAATAAATAATAAATAGATACAAGAACTATTTTTATTATTATTATTGTTATTAGATAGATATATTCATTTTACTTTTTTTTTTTTTATATTAATAATAGTTTACAAGAAATATTTGAAAAACGTAGAAGAAGAAGAGAGTCCCATAATGCTGTAGAAAGACGAAGACGTGATAATATTAATGAACGAATTCAAGGTATATATATAAACAAATAAATAATTAGATAGCTAGATGGATATACGTGTGCTAAGGATTATTATTATTACTTGATACTTATTTGTTTGTTTTCTTTTTTTATTTTTTTTAACTTTATTTTTTTTTATTTTATTTTTTTTATTGGATTGGCTATAGAATTATCTACACTTTTACCAGAACATTTATTAGAAAATGCACCTACAAGTTCAAATGTAAACAACGCCAATACACAAAACGGTGGTAAGGCTATTAACAAAGGAACAATATTAAAATTATCAGTCGACCATATTAAAGATTTACGTGAAGAAGTATCTCGTTATAAGGATCGTGTTCAAGAATTAGAACGTATGATTGAAGCTGCTAAAAGAGGAGAACCTTATATGGAAGAAAAATATCAACCTTCACCTACTACAACCACTTCAACAACTTTGGATCCTAATTCATCCTTTTTAATGAATCAATCTTCTGTTCCATTAAATAATAATAATAACAATAATAATAACAATACCAATAATCATAATCCTCATCATAATAACTCTTCTCATCCAAATCAACAGCAACAACAGCAGCAACAACGACAACCTATGATTAAACATGAAAGGGTCGGCTCACTTCAATTTCAACAACAGTTTGGTAATTTACACATTGCAAATGATAATCCACCTCGACCTTTAAAATAAATTTATCCATTTCATTTGTTTTTTATTTTACTTTTTGGTTGTTATTTCTTATATGATATCCTTTTCTTTTCTTTCTCTTCCTTTTTTTTTTTTTCCTTCTCACATATATATATATTATCTTTTATTATTATTATTATTATGTCTATGATTGTAATTACTGTTTTATTTTTATTTTTATTTTCTTCTACTGATTATTTTTATTTTTATTATTATTTTTGACCTTTATCAATATATAGTTTTTTACAAATATATATCAAAAAAATAAAATAAAAATAAAATCATAATCAACTTTATTAAAGATATATATATATATATATTATTTTAGTTTATTTTTATTATGAAACATAATTACAATCAATGGATACAGCATACCCTAATTGCGATACACACCTTCTAAACGAACCTTCTCCTCGTATATCTAATCGACAAACCATATGATCGGCATAAGAGTCAGAGCCACCCGTATTTGATAAGCAGCATTCAGTAATTTTTGTATAGTTTACTTTAAAGCCAGTAACATTACAAGTGACAAGATCAGTGTCTACAGCTACACATAACGTGGCCATCACCAATAAGACAAATAAACTCAAACTTTTAATCGTATTCATAGTCTTGATTTTTGAATTTTGGACTTTTTAAGAACAAAGATAAAAATGAAAATAAGAAAAAAATGAAATACAATTTATATGAATTTTATTCAGCGAGATTGATATAATTAATTTAAAATGGTAGGAATAATTTATATGAATTTTATTCAGCGAGATTGATATAATTATTTTAAAATGGTAGAAACAGAGAAAAATGACAATAATAAACTTTATAAAGAGTGTTTACTTTTAAAAGATTATTGTTTCTGTTTTAAGCTAAAAAATAAAAATAAAATATAAAAGTATAAAAATAAAATATAAAAATATAAAAATATAAAAATATAAAAATATAAAAATGTAAAAATGTAAAAATATAAAAATATAAAAATATAAATATAAAATATAACTATAAAATATAACTATAAAATATAACTATAAAATATAACTATAAAATATAAAATATAAAATATAAATAAAAACTGTAAAAATAAAAATATAAAAATAACGTAGAAAGTTTTTTTTTCAGTTGTAATTAAAATTTAGAAATATTTTATAGAATAGATTTTCAAAATTTTCAAGTTCTGGGTTCGTGGTCTAGTGGTATGGCGTCTGCTTTGCATGCAGAATATCCGGGGTTCAATTCCCTGCGGATCCACTCTTTTTATAAAAAAATTAATGTTCGTGTAACCTTCCTTTTTGGTCATTTTCATTCGTTTTTTAACCATTTTATTATATTTTTTTTATTAAAAAAGTTAATATTATATGGTATGTGTTTTTGGTAAGAGATGATTTAATTAAAATAAAAAATAAGAATTTAATGAAAACGAAAAGAAAAAAATATTCTATTTATATTGAAACATAATTCATTTTTTAAAGGAAGAGAGGTAAAAAGGTTATCAGCTCAATGGTCACCAGTTCAGAGGTTTTCGGTTCGGAGGTTAAAAAAACTAACCATTACAAACTTCATCCATCTGGATAACAATGCTTTTACAATGCTAGACATTTGCATTATTAAAAATACAAAATTATGTACCCAAATTAAATCCATAAAAATTAACATAAGGTTTTATGTATAGCTATTACAGTTACCACTTGGTATTAAGATTAAATTATGTATTATGAATAATCCAAAAAATAATTCGTTATAAAAATTATATTAATTATATTATAAAATATGTTTTTATATTATATACTTTTATTAAAAAAATTATTGATTTTTAGTTATATTAAGAATAACTTTATACTAAAATATATATCTATGTTACCTAATACTGGAATTCAATAGTCCAAAATATTATGGCTTTTCCATATATCAATATTTTATATTTTGAATAATTTATATATTGTTTCATCTACAGCATTTTTCTTAAGGATATGAAAAATGGCAGTTTTTTATGTGAAAATATTTACACGTATCTAGTTTAAACTATACCATCTGAAAAATAAATCAATTATATCATTTTTTTGATTTCTATTTATTTACGATAATCACCTTTTATTTTATACTTAATATTAAAATCTATACAAGTTTTCATTTTAAGAATAAAAAATATAAAACTAGTTTACTAGTATGATAATGTTGGTAATTGTTTAAAAAATTACTTTCTGGGAAGTGAGTATTCCTCTGGATTATTAATTATTGTGTGACATAACCTTTAAACCCAAACACTTCTTTGTGAGAATAAATTGAATTTTCCTTTTTTTTATTTATTTTACCTTCTTATTTTCTTTTTATTCAAAAAAAAAAAAAAGATTGAATACAAAGAAAGGGTAAGATGGCTACAGAAACTTGGGAAATTAAAAACATTTCAGTAGCACCAGTAGAGGGGACCAAAGTATTTTGTCAAAATGAAGGTGATGATAAATGGGTTTTTGTCAGAAGTAATTACTATTATACTTTGTATGCTAAATTGTGGTGCAATAGTACAACAGAGTACTCAATAGAAATACCAAGTTATGGTATTGGTGGCTTCAATATTCCAGACGACTATAAACATAAGAAAATTGTTGTTGGAGTTAGTGCTAACAATGAAGATTGGCATTGGGTTAGACATGATTATCATACTGGTGCAACCACATAAGTAAAGTTTATAAAGTTTTAAAATAATGTAAAAAATGAAGACAGTGTGAATTTAAAATACTTGAAATAAAACTTTATGGTTTATGAAAATAATAATTAAAAAAAATTGGTACTTGAATAAAATAAAACTTTTATCATTTAACATCATTATAAAAAAATTAAAATATATAAATGATTGAATAAAAGTAAATGATTTAAAATTGGAATTCCAAACTATTATTACTACACTTAGTTTGTGATACTGATTGTTGCAATCGTTCTTTATTTATTAAACGAAGCTTTATACTGAGTTTAAAATTAGTTTGCATAAATAAGTAATTTTTTTTAATTTTTTTCCGTTTTTTTCTCTTCTATTCTTATCTTATCTTTGGGTGAGTATCAATGTAATAATATATATATATAAAGATAAAAGAGAGAGAAGGCTATAAACAACTATTTTAATCTAGTGTTATAATACGATTAATACTTTGTAAAGTACTCGTATTACATAATATAAATAGCATTGAATCGCAAGACCTCATCTTACAAAACCATCTGGGAACAATTATGATAAACGTTTACATTGTTAATGATGAGAAAGTGTTGGATTGAATGTATATAGTTACTATGATTACCTCTTGGAATTAAAAGTAAATCATGAATCATAAATAATCCAAAAAATAATCAATTATAAAACTGTATAGATTTAATTATAAAAGATATGTTTTTATATTATATAAATTTATTTTAAAAAAAAAAAAACATTAATATTTTGTAGCTGTATATTTTAAATGATATAATATTTATAATTTTAAAAGTTGTATATTAATTAAAATATTTAAAAACAAATGATCTATTAAAATTCATGATTTAAAAAATTTCAAAAGTAATCCTAATGCCACGCAGTACATAGGTTTATAGATTAATGTTTAAAGCATATTATTTATTTTCGGTAATGTAAAAGCTTCTTGCGAATAATTTTTTTTTAAAAAAGTGTATTATATAAAAAGCCTTTTATTACTCATGAGAAAGTATATAGATATAAAGGGATCGAAAAAATAAAATAAATGTACCTTGTTACTAGTAAAAATAGTAATAGGGATTTTCGTAGAACTGAATTAAAAAAGTGTTGAATATAATGAACTGATAAATATTAAGTATATTAAAATAAATTATACTAGATGGCCATAAAACGGAGGATAGTATACAAATATCAACTAATAAACTTTAAAAAAAGACGTTAAAAATACACTAGTTTATGATAATGACTATGTTAGCAAAGTTTATTAATATACATGTAAAAAAGGTTTTAAGTTTAGAGAAAAATGAAAGTTTTTCACTTTTCACTTTTTTTCTATTTTATTTTATGAAAATCTTTTTTTTTATTTATAAAATGTCGTAAGATGAAAAGTAAAAGTAAATACAAGGTATAATTATGTATATATTTAAAATAGATAACAAATAAGGGTGTCCAAATTTATTGTATGAAATGGGTTTAAATTATCTTGAAATTGATGAAGTTTTGAACACACAAGTAATCAAAATACTGAATAAGGAAAGAACGAAAGAAAGAAAGAAAGAAATATACGTTTAATAGTAAATCCATTAAACACGACTTACAGAAACAACTATAAACAATAAAACAAAATGATAATAATTGTAATACAGCTACCATAATGAAATGGAATATACAGTTTTTGGCAGTACGCTTTAAGTTTTTTGAAATAACAATTCCGCAGCCTGTTCTTTTTTGATCCCACTATGCCTATATATGGCATTTATATACATATAGACTACTCCTAATGATATAAAAAAACATATTGCAGAGAAAAATGAAATATATAATAATAGTACATTGAGAGGAGAGTAAATAAATGAATAAAGTCCACTTGATAGAAAAACAATATCATTTAGTTGGGATTTATATGTATATATACAGAAACGGATAGAACTAGCAATTTATAATAATGGTAATTTTTGAGAAAGGATGAAAAAAGGCAAGTATCCATCTATTCATCATAAAGCAGGTAATGTATTCATAAGAGTAAAGCATAAAATGAAGGTAACTTTATTATAATTATCGTTAATTTTTTTCTAATGTATATTGCAATAACAATTCAACACCCAGTTATGAATATAAAAGATAACATCATGACATTCAATCAAAATTAAAATTCAGGAAAAAAAAAATAGCCATCAGGTGATTAAATTTATATATAAATCAAGAAGAGGATTTCCAGGATAACTAAAGAAAAATAACTCAACGATCTATCACTTGGCACAACCAACCGTTTAAATAAAAGACTACCAAAGTACTTGTAACCAATGGTTAATATTTAGTAATGATATAGTTGAGATAAATATCTATACTTTAATGTCTTGTAGAATTTTAATAAAATAATTTCAATGATCAGCTTTCATGGTAAATACGATCACAACCAACATTATTTATTTGTGAAGATTTTATTCAAGGTCAAGTAAGGTGGAACATTATAAAAGTTATGATAATGATTTTGTTATTAGCATATTACGTTTTCTATATACATATATATTTATGATACACGATAGTGTCAATACCAGACATCAATCAATTAGTCATGCCAAGGTATCCTTCGCCTCCTCGATCAAATGATCTTGTCATCAAAACAGAATCAAACACAAACACTATTTAAGATCATGGGATGAATAAAGTGTTGAATGATGATTTTGGGAGGTAAAAAAAAAAAATAACCTCCAGAACTTTATTTTATTCAAAAAAGTATATACTGCATATATGCTTTTTTATGGGTTCATTTATTATTAAAACTAAGTAATTATATATATATATATATATATATATATATATAGTATTTAACTACCAATAGTAAATATATATAAATTATAGCATTTTTTTTTTTTATATACTTTATATTTATATTCATATATATAAGAGATAGTAATAATAAAAACAACATCATAAATTTTTTATGAAAGCATGATATTATTTTATAGTATGAAGATTTTTTAAACTTATAAATTTCATGTGAATATAACTTGTGTAACTTTAATTTTTTTTTTCAAACTCTTTTTTTCCTTTTTTTTTTTCTTTATATATTTTTTTAAAAACATAGACTAATTCATATATCAACACATAAAATATATAAAATATTTATATATTATATACTTATTTAAATAGTTGTATCCATTCCATTCGTTTATAATATTAATAGTAATAGTAAAGTAATAATAAATCTACATTGAGCAAGATGACAACAAAACCATTAACAATAGAGATTGACGATAAATACAATATTGAACACCCATCACCACCACCTTCACCACCACCTATTCATAAGCTATATACAGAAAGTTCAACTTATAGATATACAAATTACCATTATAATCACACCAACCCTAGTGGTAATAGCTATAATAATAATAAACCACCTTTATTAGTACCCAAAGCATCAGATCTGCCACCTTCTCCTGATGAGGATCCTAAAGATAAAAAACAAGGACCAGTTTATAAATATTCCAAAAAGATTTTTATATATTTATTAAAACAGCTTGTGAAAAAGAAAAATTTAACTTTAACCATCAATTTAATGCACCAAGTA